AACACGGTTGTTAAGTGAATTTGGCTTCCCCATTGACTTTGCTTGTCAGAAGGTTGCAAAAGCTGATCATATGATCCTGGGACACTGCATCTGTCGTAAATATAAACCAGTTGCCAAGGATCTGAATTTTGATCACATGACCAAGGGGATGCTGCAATGGTTGTAAGTGTGAAAAACTGTCATAAGTCACTTTTTTCAGAGCTGTTGTAACTTTGATCAGTCACTAAAGAACTGTTGTAAGTTGAGGGCTACTTGTGTAATAATACTTTTTTTTTTCAGGGAGCTTTAGGAAAGAAAATTAAACTAAATTGACAAAAAAAATTAAAAACAGCTTTGACTAACCCAGAATAGTATAATATATACATATCTTGAGACCTCTCATCCAAATGAGAGTTTTCTAAAAATGATGATAATCTCCCATCTATTACATTGAATGTGTAAGGTCTCAATATCAGCAGTACTGTGCTACGTTATTTTGTTTCCATAGTTTGCAAATTTCTGATTTTTAAAATGAAGCTTGAAACCAAAGACATTGAGATTAAAATATTTATTTAAGGCCAATAATTTCTAAAAATATTAATCTTCAGATTTTCCAGCAGTAATTATTATCATTGCAAGCTAAGTCTCTAAAATAGTACTAAAAGTCCTCACTACTAGCAGATTACTACTTCTCCAGAAGAGTAAAATTTGTCTGTATCCTATTGGGAATGCTAGCAAGAAATACTAGCTACTAAGATTGTGTGAATATTTGATTCAGAAAAAAAAAGTTCAAACAGGTTTTAATTGATGTAATGATATTAGTTAAATATTTATTTATTGCCTTTCATAACACTAGGCCACAAGAAATCAGAGAGGAATTTGGTGGCCATCAATCTGGAATAGTGACAATCAATTCAATTATTTTTTTTACATAAAAATGGATTTTCAAATTTATTTAGAAATTGGGATAAGATCAGATAGACTTTCCAAATCAGAATTTGAGTGATTTGCATGGAAGAGCCTTAAAGCTGGAGTGACTTCCTTATCAAATAAGATGAGATACCAGTGGACTTGTTTTCATTTCACTAATTAGATTGAAGAGGCAAGGCTCCATCAGCTTAATGTACATATTTTCATGCAGTTTCTAATAAATAACTAATATTTTGTCTCACCTGTTCAAATTTTGTTTCTATATTCATAGAAAAAACAAATTTATTTGAAAATCAAGTATGAAATTATAAAATTTAGTTCATAAGAGAGGGTATATTACTCTCATTTTGCACTGGACATTAAAACCCAAGGTTTTAATTTTTTATTGTTGAAAATTATATAGTAACAAGTGTTCTTGCGGATGAGAGTGATGATGATGGTGAACCAAATGAATACAACTTGAATGACAGTTTTATAGATGATGAAGAGGAGGAAGAAGAGTATGATCCTACTGATGAAGATTCTGACTGGGAACCAGATTGTCAAGACAATGACGGTGAAGATACGGACATGCTTCTCAAAGAAGCACAGAATTTTGTTAAAACTAAGAACTAACTGCATTCAAATATTTTGATAGAGTTTATAAAGTATCATTCACCTACATGAAACATGTATCCCATTAGTTAGTAATGTCATTTTTTAAATAGTGACTTACGTTAATTTTACTTCATAAAATTGGATTATGTATGTATATTTTCAAAATTTCATGACTCCACAGCTGATAATGCTTGTGAAAAGATCTTATGTGTTAGGGAGTACACTTAAGATTGCTGGATTAATATCATCTTCGTAGTGATAAATAGGGCTTTGTGATTTAAAATAATGCTTTCCTAAACTTTGTATTAATGCATTTAATTGCACATATGGATAAAAAAATCCATATTAGTAATGGCACTAATTTGGATTTCGTTTCATTTTTTTATTGTCAGACTGATAATAAAACTGTAAATAGTAACTGCATTTTCTTGTCATATGCTGTTTAACACTACAAGTAGTATTATTTCTATTTGAGAAGAAAGTATATCAATTTATTCTGAAAGACAATTAATGTTCCCAGTCTCTCTTCAATATTTGAATTTCTCTGAAGCTATGTTTGAACTATTACATTCAGTTGGCTGAAGCTGAAAAAAGTCCTAGTTGATCAGCTTTACACTGGAACATCGTAAAATCTCTGAATTGCACTTTGAATCTGTTGTATGTAGATAACCAGTATGAATATCTGATGTTTCAAAAAAAGATTCCATCGGTGATTCTCCTGGGCAAAAGCAGGCAACTCTGGCAGACACTAACATCCAAAGTGCAATACTTTCTTAAGATGTCAGAACTGTATTGCAAGACATTCTCAGCTATGAATATTAGTTCTTAAGAGCCGGGAGTCAGTAGTTCTTCATGTCTTGTGTTAAGCCATAGTATAATTTGTATGGTTTTGGCA